AGGGGCCTCCCCCATCGGCCCCGCCACCACCACCATCAACAATGGGAGGCTACTATGGAGAAGGTGCAACACAATTTGCTATGTGGCCATACTACTAGGACGACTTTATCTTATTCACATACCACATCTATGTGTTTGTTGTTTGGTTTAATTACGTAAGGCATGTTAGGTTTAGTCAAAGGAACTCTATACCCTAGTTCGGTACATGTTCTCACATGTCATTTCATGTGTTTTGTGTGTTGAATTATATAATGCCCTACGTCGTTAGGTTTTATTTGCAACACATGATCATATTTCAATACGTCCGTAATATTAAGCGAAATATTAAGACCATAAATAATGAAAACAACCACATAATGAAAAGTCCAATACTATCCACATTAAACAACATAATAATACTAGAAGCACATGCCGACAATAGACATAGGGGGCAAATGCACTTTCAAATCCTCAGTCTAAAACATACTGAGTAAGCAACTCATCATCCGAGTACCAGTCCTCTACCACAACCCTGTTGCTGTGGCTAGGCTCACATGCGTTACTCTGACCTGCCTATCGCCTATAGTAAGCGGCCTCCGCTTCATCTGCGGCCGCTGCGGCCTGAGTGAAGAACGCGTCGTCATCCTCCTCCGTCTGCAAGCCCGCCTCTGCTAGAGCGATGAGCTCGCTCAGTCTGTCAGTGTCGTCCTCAGCCTCCTCCGTCTGCAAGCCCGTTTCTGCTAGAGTAATGAGCTCGCTCAGTATGCCAGTATCGTCCTCAGCCTCCTGCGCCTGCAAGCCCGCCTCTGCTAGAGCAATGAGCTCACTCAGTCTGCTAGTGTCGTCCTCATCCTCGTCCCCCTCATCAGACAACACAATCGATGATTGAATGGTACGACCAACTCGCGATCTATGCTCATCTAACTTCTTCTCCTCATACCTTGCACGAGCCACCTCTGCTGCATGTTCCTCGCTGCAACTAATCCCTTCATGTATAAAATGCAATTAGTTAGCAACGCGATTATATTACATTTAAAATCAGGCAACGAAAAAAAGGCTTTCAAGCACTCACTGACACATAATGCAACAACATGCTCGTTCAAGACCTACATCTGTACTCTTGTCTCCTCCCTTGCCTCCTTCCTTGCCCTCTCCTCCTCTAACGTCATCCGCCTCTCCAATCCCCATTTGTTAAGCCCAACATCGATCGGGGTACAAATACCGCGCTGTCTAGTAAACTCACACATCTTTTCTTTGTGATGTTTAACAAATAGGTTGACGTAATTAGGTCCATATCCCCTCTTTCGTGCAATTACTTGTCTCCCCTTCAGTTCATTCAAGAACTTAGCTTGACCATCGTAACATTCCCACTTGCATTTTCTAGTGCTCTGTTCAAAAGAAAAATTATATCATATATGTCTTAGCAAAAGAAACAAAATACGATTTCATGTTTACCACAAAAATAACCAACCTCATCATACTCAACCATATGGCCGCAATAATGGCCTATTCCAAGCTTCGAAGGGACTAGGCCATAGTTGGATTTAACACCACATTCGCACGTGACAGGAGGTACTTTGTAAATTACCCTTTCTTTCTTCTTTTCCTTAACCTTTCGTGGTTCTTTCGGCCATTGGTTCTTAGGACCATACAACCACTCCTTGAAACGACACTTCGTCATTGAAAACTCCTAAATAAGGTGACATTAGTACATGAACACATATAGCTCAAGATTTCAACACACACACTTTGCACTTACTTCATGCTTGTTTGGACACACAAACTCCAACATATTCTCAGGGTTTATCACAGCTCGATCTCCGTAATCGCACAGAGGAGGTTCATTGAGTCGTCTAACTACGGCTAGGTGCTTCTCCTTAGCCATCATTGGCGGAGGGTTAGGGGGTTGAACCCACCACTTGAAGTGCTCATGTGGATGTCTCCTTCTAAACCAATCGTCGAAAAGGAGGTACCTAGGATCAAACTTGTCTGCACCGTCGATCCACTAAAATAAAAAACACCTCTCATGGTCCTACACAACAAGATTCCAATAAAATATTAGTAGCATACTTACACAAATAAAGAAAAAAGATAGTGAAAATAATTTTTTACATTAAAACGACTGCTTGTGTAGAAGCACCGTGCTGCTGTGTTCGGATGTTTCGATTGAAAAACATGGGCCGGAAAACCACAGTCACAGTTAGGGACAGGGAGGTCAGGAGGGACGGGGGCATCTTTGCTAGACGCGTCGGGGTATAATTCTCGAGGACGACCCCGTTTTCGCCAAAACTCCTCCCGATACATTTCTTGCATCTAACAAAACGAATGCAATTTAACAAACAAAAATCAAAACATCAGAAATAAATGTCAATAAGAACCATAACTACAATATAATCAATTTTGTTCTAAGAACCGAAAGCAATTAACATTAAACCCTAAACCTAGGATTTTCCATTTGATGCACAACAATGAACTCATAACATAACTACATACGCCTAGGTTTGCTAGCTTTTTTCACGCCTTGGCATCATCCTACAGTTGTATAATACAAATATTGAGGGATAGAATAAAACACTAAGTAATGACGATTCTTAGGCTGAAAAATTCGATTAATATATACCGAATCGATACGAAAAAAACTAGGAGGGGAGCAAGGATACCTTGCTCTCGAAGATCTACGGATCAAATCAAAGTTTTCAAGGTCCAATATGCTGATTCATGAGGTAGGGCGAAGTGGAAAGAGAAAAAACCTGAGAGGGAGGAGAAAGAAGAGGAAAAAGGCTCGGGCAGGAAGGCTGGGGCTGGGGTTAAAACACAAGCTCGGCGTCAAGATCTACGGCGCCAGGGTGACTGGCGCCGAGCTCCCTGCCATGTCATCTCCACATTGGTCTCGAGCCCAAGAGAACGCTGGCGCCGAGACGTGTTAGTTCGACGTCAGCATCGATGGCGCCGAGCTAAGGGTCCAGATTCTAAAATCTTTTCTTTATAGACATATTTGTAAAAAACTTTCAAAAATAGGGCTAAAAAATAAAAAATTCGGCCACTGACCACGCTAGATCGTACAACTAGTTAGGAATATGCTGAAATATTCCCGTATGACACATCACTAGGTCAACAGTCAGCGCATCATGAAATTGTATAAAAAACATTCGTCCTGTTCACTTGACTTATAAGCCGTATTTTTTTATCTAACAAACAGTATTTTTCTCTCATAATAAATCAGTCAATAGTACTTTCAGTCACGGCTTACAGGTCAATTACCGGTGACTTAACCAGTGCAGGAGGTACTCCGAGCAAAGTTGGCATGTCTAGTCATATACGTAGGAGCTTTGTTAAAAGTTTGGTATTTTAAACCTCACATTTGAGCTATAATAATTCACGAAATTATTTAAAATTTATTGGAGACGGCATAACTAGTATGAGGCTGTGAGCTATTCTGTGCGAGTGGTACGTATGATGAAAGTTTGATAACATGATATTATCGTCATAATTTGCTACATACCAATACCATTATGAGTTGCCGTTGTTTGTCGTGGTCGTAGGACACCGTAGCGATTATAATATTATCTTTTACGATTTAATTAGAAGGAGCAAGAATATAGGGAATTGTCCGTTATGCTCTTGTCTTTCTCCTCTTGCTCCCTCGGGATGCTCTCTCTTTCTTTCTTTCGCCTTGTAGCACTCTCTCCGGTCGTATATTTTTTAAAAGAAGTCTTGTTTATATGCATATGTATCTACCTTAATTCATATGTATTGAAATAGAATAGAATAAAATTTAATTTAATTACACTTTAACACATATGCATTGAAATGATGCGTATCCAAACGAGGCCTTATGTGTATTATGTGTATGTCTTTGCATACACGTCCACGAAAGGACTGCTGATGCTCGCATCGGCTGCCGTCGTGGCTCAACCACTTACCACCGATGATACCAAGGTTGAGCGGACGCTCCTATACACCGCTGCCGCTGCTCTCAACCTCTAACGGGAGCTGGTCCTCTAGCCAGAGGAGCAGCTGCCCGTCGATGACGAGTGCCCAATGGTAGGGCTTGTCGGTGAGCAGCGGGGTGTCATGGAGCTCCATCCTAAGCCCCATCCCTATGATCAAGCTCGTCAAAACAACCTAGCCACCAGGCGAAGCACCACCCCGATGGACCCAGCCCCAGATCGGTTAGACGATGGATCCAGACACATGCTAGAGCCTCAAGAGCTATTGTTTCAAAAGAGAGAGAGACTCGAGAGCTAAAGTTTAGCCCATAGGATAAAAAAAAAGTCTATTTTGTTTTTTAATACATATGTTCGGCTATTGGTATTTGCAGCTGCACCTGTGAGACAGCTATAGTGAGCAACAGTGACAAGTACAGCCACTGCCGCTGAAAAAAATATGGAGCCAACTAGCTAGGCAGCAATAGCATGTTTATCCGATGTTACACATCAAAATATCATGAAATTGTCTAAAACACTGTACATAAAATAACTACTACTACTCTAAATTATAAGATATTTTTAGTTTTCCTACGTACGTAACTTTTGCTATGCACAGTGCATAACATAAACTATGTATCTATGAAAAACCAAACGTCTTATAATTTGATAACGAAGGGAGAAGTTTAGAAGCTACTCCATGCAGGTTGACAAGACTAAACACAACTGCAAAACCGTGGTGAAAATTTAGTATTTGAATGTTTAACCCTGTGGTTAAAAATTTCGGTCTAACTATTGTTCAGATGTTACCAACAGAGATTATTGTACTAACAATTCTCCAAGCTAGAATTCAGTACTGTAATCAGCTTTCAGTGCCTTTTTATCTTGTTCTACATGAGCTTAACTGTTACTCTTCCTAACCCACAATATACAGGTAAAGTCAATGTGTAACCCAATAAGAATTAGAATGTGTTCCTTTCATATGACACAATATAATACATGTACAATCACTATATCTACTTCCGCGTCGGCTTCAATCCTCTGAATGGCATGTTACAATTTCACGAGGCCCCCAGAATCTCAACTGCAAGATACCTTCCGTTTGTTTACTCTTGCCAAGTTCTCTGAAACCGCCCTAGTCAAATTTTGATCCTCAAAACTTGCATCAAGATTGAACCTGAGAGAAATGTCCATGACACTGATTAGAAGCTAGAGACTACCTAAAGTCTTTAGGTTATATCATACCCCAACAGTTCGCAAAACATAAGATAATAACGATCCAGTGTCAATTCAACAGTCAGTGAATGGGAAATGTAAGAACGGGCATCAGTGGACGTACTTGGGATCAAGGGTTATTCTCTGAATTTCTCTAACAGCAGAACTTGCTGCATATAAGGAGATCTTTTTTACCTGTATCGTTAATGGAAAAAGGTTTTCATTTTCGTTCTCAATAATTAGTATATATTAAGTTATTGTTCGCAAGACCACAACATACCTCAAGCATCTTCAATTTTGCAAGATGACCATTTGGCAGGCAACGGATCTCTTGGGCCAGCCGGACTGACTCTGGCAAACTCTCCGGTGACAAAAAATTGAGAGCCAATTGAACCGTGGACTGATCATGTCAATATAACAGAAAACAAATGTAAACTATATCCGCAAAAAAAGTATTCAATTGTTCAAACAATCACAGAAGCATAGAAGATAATATCATTTTCAACAAATCAAAGCATAACAACCACATTCAGTATAGATAGTACATAACTAGTTCAAATTATCACAGAAGTAATAAAGAAGATAATATCAGAGATAGAGGAACAAAATTCTTCAGAGCAGCTAAAATTCTACTCCAAGTAAGCACAACAAATAAGAACAAGCAAGTCAAATTCAACACGTAGTGAGAGATGAGCTCACATGAACCACTGCAACAGTTGGAAACAGAAACTTAGTCTGACTGAAAACACAGTTTCAACATGATTCCGTGCAGTAACCTCTCTTGCTTTATTTCTGAGCACTGCTGCTACTAATGCTTCTTTCTTTTTTCCAAGCTCTCTAGTATGTTCGCATGTAAAATCACTATATTCATAGCCTAAATTCAAAAGAAAAAATATATAAAAGTCCTACCATTTCATTATGTTCTAGAGTGACTACCATACGGGCATAAGAATATGCAAATTCAAGAAACATTTTAGAAAAGCTTTGCTCATTGAAAATGATGGTCTGAGCATACAAGCAGTGTGCTAACACAAGTAATTCATGGAACCCCAAGGTCATTTTATCCCTAATAGTTAAGGTTGAACATTCAGACACCACTTCTCACAAAAATAAGAACAGAAACTTTGAGCACGACAAAGGGTAAATATGAGGACGAGATGCATCACCTGGAGGTTTTTCAATTGGAAAGGACAGCCAGCTGGAATGAAAACAGCCTCACCAATATGTTGGTGGAATGTGTAGGGTTCAATTCCTGCAAGAACATCTCAATGAAACTTGCAGAAGTAAATGATGTGATGGGTCTCAATAACAAAAATTAACTCATAAGGCTACTCCTACTGTGTAACATCATGTACATTAATTAGGTGCTACAATATGATTTTTTTCTGACTTGGCAGTAAATTAACGAGAGGAAAATTATATCTACATCACCATACTGCTTGGGTTATTGAGACATTTGAAAATATAGTGCAATCATCTGCTGAGAAATTTGAAAATATGCCACTTCAAATTTTACAACTGAACAGTGTGCCACCGTAAACCTTTGGTTTCAACAATTTTCCACGGTAAACTTCGGCTCAACAATTTGCCACTAAAAATGACATGGTCAGAATCAGCCTATGTAAAATGACCCGTACACCCATGTAGTTTCTTAGCCAGTGGCAATGACCAGCATCAGCACAGCGACGACGATGGCAGCTGTGGCATGCGGCTCACTGTGGAGGAAAAGACGGGCAGAGGGAAGAACAGGGAGCAACCTGCAATGCTATGGGTTACCAGCCATGGATGAGAGGAATTGAACCTTGGCTCGCCAGAGATGACGAAGCAAATGTAGCAGAGCATCTGACTCCCATGACCAAAGTTGGGGAAGGCGCAACACCGAAGATTGGTTGGCGTGGAGACAGTGGGATCCACTGTGGAAATGGCCAAGGAGGTCACTGTTGCTCTCCTTGACCAGTAAGAGCTGCTGGCTGGCGACGAACAAAGCCTCAGGAATGGTGGCCCAGTTGAGAGGGAGCCAGACAGCAGGGGGCACAAGAGCCACATGGAGTGACCATGTAAAAGAAACTCAAAACCTGGAAACTTATTGAAGCCTAAAGTTCGGAGTGGCAAATTGTCAAATTTCTCTCATCTTGCTGTAGTTTGCAAAGCATATCGTAGGCTCAATTAGAGAAGATGAAGTACTACATGAAATAAGATGCAATGGTGCAAACAGCAGTCAAACATTTGGAAGTGAAAACTAGTAATCCTCTCTCTGGTACTTAGTACTTACCATATTGATCCTTCAACATCTTCTTATGATAATCGTTAAGGTACACAGTTTGATCATAAATCGGATACTTAACCTGCATCAAAAGTATAGTAACATGAAACACCTTTGAGAATTTATTTTTAAGACTATAATTTGACATAGGGAAGGAGTCATTACAGAAGATACTGCTTGATATCTAGCTGCAAATTCTTCCCGATGAACAGCTAGATATTCATTAAGCTTTGGAAGATCCTGCCTGTGGAATACATCCCAGACAGCACCAGCCTGGGATCCTTCTGAACTATTAGTTTTTGGCTCCTCGACGTGTGAGATTGAATGTTTGTGCGCTTGCTCCCCCATATCCAGATTCAAATTTTGAACAGGAGTGTGAGCATTTGCATGCACACTAGTTCCATTAGCAATCCTTTCAGATACATCAGACTGTACCCTCTTGGGACATTGGTAATGCACTTCAGTTGCATGCATTAACATGTGAACCTACAAGAGGAAACAGATAGCATTAGCCATCTGATGTTTTTAACTTTTGTCATTAATAATACTCAAGTTACTCAGCCGACCTTCATGAAAAACAAATGCTCAAATCTAACCAGAACTTTCAAATGAAAACTGAGTAAGACCAAACTTACCACATCGCTCATGTTAATCATTAGATTTGTCACTGAATCACCTTTACCAAGTTCTTGGTGACTTCCATATGCAATTAGCAGCTTCATCCCTACTTCAGGCTGTAAGGCATCTGGGGGTAACTTGGCAGCAAGGTTTAGGAGACCCCATCTAGGATGAATAAAATCAACAAGAGGAAAGTTGACAATAAATTCTGGCCTTTGGCACAACAGAAACGCCTCCAAGACACTGGGTCGGGGCCACTCTTTCAATTTCAGCATCAACAAGTGGCCATCTCCTCCTTTGCTGCCATCTGAGTAGCCTTTGATAAACTGTTTGAGCTTGATATCTACCTGAGCAGATGAAACAAGATAGGATATATCATTTTGAAGATAGCGGCACAACAAATATTTTCTACATGCAGAAGCTTGGAATTCTTTACTTCCACAATTTTTTCACTTCTCCAAAATACAACTTGTAGTACAAGTAGTGGATGGTCAAAAACTCAAAATAAGTTAGCAAAGGTGCCAAGGTGGTATTAGTGTATTACACAATGATCATGCATTCTTTTTAGCAAAATATACTTCTAAGATCTAACAGTGGTGTGTTAAACTAAATGAGAACAGTAATAGCAGTGTAACTAATAGCATGGCACCTGGGAATCCCTAAGAAAAAGTCACAGCAATTTCCAACAGACAGCAACGTTTTATTCAGAAATATAAAGCAGCAACTAGCACTTCTTTATCACCTCTGATTGGTTCGAGCAGTCCACAGCCTTGACTATGACATCTTCATCCATGATCTCCTGGATACCTCTCCAAATACTCAAGGGGTCCCAGCTTGATGATAGAGAAGGCTCAAATGCTTTCCTGATAATAATAGGCTCCGCGTTTATCCAATGCTTACGAAAGTGAATGATGCCTTCGTATTTTAAGTCCTCCAATACAGGAGAGTACACACAATTCCTACCAATCCCATCACTGTTTGAGCATTTTGAGAGACCGAGGTTTCGCTGACCAGTAAACTCCAATCTTCTGCCATCACTGCAAGACAAACATCCATCCTCCAACTCATGTACTTTGCAACCATTGACCATTTCTTCAGAACTTTTTACAAGTTTAGCAATCCAATTTATTTTGAATATCCGCCTTAATACCAACTTTGAGGAGCCACAACCACCAGCCTCATGAGGTCCACAAGTGATGCTGCCATCATTGTTGACTCTCCATGTAGGGAATAAAGATCTAATGTCAATATTATTTATATCTATTGGCCAAGATAATGACTTGTCATTTACACTCTCTGCAGATGGTTCCAATCTTGCTCTTTTATTAAAAGAATCTCTACCTTTATCTTCAACATGACCTTCAGTATATTCTCCTCGTGCAACATTGGCCCGAGAATGACGTATATCACGACAGCAATCAAGGCATAAGTCACACAAGCATCTTGGGCAGTATCGGTGATAATCAAACACTGGCACTTTGCAAAAGTCACTGCAAATAATGAAAAGTTTTAAGGCTCCATTATAGCCTAATTTATCTAGTTAGAATGAGAAAATGGTTCCAACGATGAAGAAAGAAGAAACAGATAAAATGGCACAAAGCCATACCAGCACATCTGCTCATCAGAAGTTATCTTTGCTCTGAGGATATCTGTCTTTGGTCCTATCAATAATAGCATCAGAGTGAATGCTAAATTTCAGATGAGAAAAGCACAATAGAAGATAAGAGGGGAAGTGGAGCACCAGAAGATCTTGTTTCAACACCTATTTCAAAGCATTGGTCAGAATAAATCCCCTTCAGTACTGGAAGAACATAAACCAAAAGGCAATGAAGATATTTCAACTTATCAACAACTGATATTTCTTGCACCCTAGCCTTTAAAAGATTAAAAAAAATGTTAGATTTTGGACAAGTACTACATAAACTCAAACATATGGATAATTAATGGAAGAAAACTAATAGAGATTGCACACCTTTATTAAGTTGTCTCCTTGTAAGCAAACTTTGCAATTACAAATGCCACGGCATGCTGGACAAACATTTCGAACATCATCAATCGGAATGTCAGAGTACCTGCATTGTGTTTGTGTTCACCTTAGTCCAAACAATAAAAGGCAAAGAGTCTCCAAAATATAGTTGGACGACTAGCTTGTATTGCAGTATATTTTAGAAGAATCAGAAAAGAGTTTTTTTTTTTCCAACAATTTTAGTCATGCCTTCTCATGATCAATCTAAACTGTCTAAAGTTACTAAGAAATAATCAGGAAAAGAACATCGACAAGGAACCATATAAAAGCCTTGCAATTTTGCACCACAAGGCCATATTCAACTCTAAGTTATAAACAAAAGAAGTTCTTGTGTTCATCCTGGTTCTGTTTCCGTCCAAACAACATACAACTCTATGACTCAAAAGTCATACTACTTTATGAGAAGATGATGGCTGTTGCACCTGAAGAAGTGAGTTGTTGCTTTTGCATCTGCCGATTTGGAATGAGGTAACAGCAAATTTTGCCTTTAAGAGGCCAACCCAGAGGCTATGCTACTGAAATGAATAAGACAATTAGTAGTCAAATATCCTTGCATTCTGACCATCCATTGCAATAAGAATGCCCCAAAACAGTTCATGTTGTTTGGAACTTTCATACGAAGGTGGTTTGGGCAAAACCCAACAGTCATTATCAATTTGACAAGGAAAAACTTATTTCAGTATGGACATACAAATCAGGTGCACATCTAGCGGACACCGTTGCACTAACAAAAATATAAAATGGCCAAGCCCAAAGCCTAAGGGACTTTGTAATATGCATTAGTTCACTGTGAGCTCTAATCTGTAATTGCTTCTCTGATACACCCTGGCCCAACATACCATCTGGAGATGCAGCCGGCACAGTACCCTCTCCTGTCACAGCAGGTACACCAAATGACACCCCCAGCCTTCCGGCACTGGTGGCAACTCCTTATCCCTGCAGCGCCGCCGCCAGGCAACCATACCGGGCCTCTGCCGACCAGCCCCTGCAACCATCGGCGCGCAATCAACGCAAGCTCAGTAGCACAGGAACCCAGTTGAGCACGTGGCCATAGGACGAAGGCAGTGCGCCCAGCTACGGAGGGCAGGCAGGCGAACTCACCGCCGCGGTGCTCGCACCAGCCGCATTGCCCCGGGGCAGCCCTTCGTAGGCGGTCCCCCTCCGCGCGGGCGCCGGCACCGGTTCAGCCACGTACACCGCCTCCCCGGCGACCCTGCCGTAGAGGGGCCTCGCGACCGCCATGGGCGGGTCCTCGTCGGCGGTGCGGAGGCGAGCGGCGGCGGCGGAGGAGGAGGAGAACGGGAAGGCGGGCGCGGGGGAGGAGGAGGCTGAGGAGCGGCGGAGCGCGGAGGAGGCGGAGCGCTTCTTGGCCTGGACGTAGTGCTTCTCGCAGACGGTCTTGTCGGGCATGGAGGGCGCGCTGCAGCGCCACTGCTTGCCGTCGGAGCGCTTGCAGCGGAGGTCCTCCGGCACGGCCGCCATCCCCGCCGCCGCGCCGGGTCACCGCGGCGCCACCACCGCGGCGGAGGGGATCTAGGGTTTGGGGGGTTCGGAAAGCGGGGAGGAGGGGGAAGAGCGAATAACGGTGGCGGCGGCGGCGGTGGTGGTGGTCGGGTTTAAGTGGTGGTTGGGCTTGCTCCTTGGTGGTCTGTAATTTGGGGAGGGAGCCGTGTGTGCGGCGCTGGCGCAGGGGTGGGCTGCGCTGCAAGTCTCCATCCATCTCCCCTCCCCGAGACCCCGAGACCCTCCACCTCTCTCTCCTCTTCCTGCCGTGCAGTGCGTGCTTGTGCTGCAGTGTGATGTAAGGATGCTAGCTAAGCTAGCCGAGCACGAGCAGCAGTGCTGGCCGCGGCGTAACTTCCCTTCCAAGTTCCAATTCCGGGGGTTGTGGGTGGTGCTCGTGTGGTGCCTGCTTGCGTGAGCGCTGCCTGCAGGTCCGCAAATGCAGGCTGTAGCACTGCACAGCACAGGGACCAGGAGGAGGGCGTGCGTGAGCACTGAAGAGGGGGAGAGCGATGGAGGGGGGAGGGAAAGCCGACGTGCGAGCGGCGGGAAGTTGTGTCCACGGTGATGCCGTGTGGGTGCCGCAGAGGAGGAAGGGTGGTTTGGGGAATTGGGAAGGCGCCCTAGTTGCAGCGTGATGAGGTGGGACCCGCGGGGGAGACGAGACGATAGCCCTGTTTGGTTCCGCTCGTTCTCGCGTTCGCGACCGAGATGAGCCGAAAATCTCGCTAAACGGATTGCGTCGAGCTCGCAACCAGCCATCGCGCGTCCGCTTATACGCGGAAAATAGCCTACGGCCGAAACGCGAGTCAAGGCGTGCGATTTAGAGAACGCAGGTTCGCGTTCGCTCACTCCCTCCCCGGCACGGCCACTATCTCTAGCGCGGCCTCCCTCCCTGGCGCGGCCACCATCTCCGGCGCGGCTTTCCTCCCCGTCGCGGTCTCCATCCCCGGCACCGCTCCATCCGTCAGCGCCTCCCTCCGGTCTAGCTCCCACCTCCACGACCGTCATCGCCTCCCTCTAGCCCGGCCCTGGACCAGATTCGCCGGCGGGGAGCAGTCCCTGCCGGATCTGGCCGGCGGCCTCCACGACCGGGTCACTCCCTCACCGCCGGCTCTCCCCCCACCGTCGGCTCCCTCCGAGCTCGTGCGTCGATTGAAGAAGAAGGACCAGGATGCAAATAGAAACTCTTATTTGGGTCCAGTTGCAAGGCTGTAGACTCACAGAAATAGTAGTAAATAGCACTACGTAGTTTGAGAAAAGTTTAGGGTTTCCAGTGTAAAATGTCATACCCGAAATAATCAGGACAGTCAAACGCCCCATTTATTTAGACAACAGATTTTCTATATCTTAGCTTATTATATAATTCTGCTCAACTTATAAGCGAGACTCCATCGGGGTCTCGTGACTTTTGGGTTTGTGGGCAGGTCTCGTGACTTTTGGGTTTGTGGGCAGCTCGCTGACTGCTGACTTGGTGGTGAGAGACAAAAGGGAAGAGAGCCAGGAAGAAATGGCATCTGACGATGACTGATGAGCGCGCGCGGCAGATGCAGACACCAGACAGAGTCCGGCCTCCAGCACTCCGGGCGCTGGGCACCCGGACCGGTTCACCATTGAACGAAAACAAAAAAAAACTGACAGCTTTACTGGTTCAGTTAAGAATTAAGATGCAATTGTGCTATTGCGAACCAGCGGAACCAGCAAATTCTTTCTTCGAACCAGTGATCAATCACGTTCGTTTCACTGAAATTTGGCTTATGCTGATTTGTTGTAAAAGAAAAATACTATTTATTCACTGAAAAGTACTGCTGAAGTAGTTGAAACGAACATGGCCTAGTTTGGGACTTTGGCTAATAGGCAAGGTGACGCCACCACCCTGAGCGCTAGAGAGAGCCGAGCCCAGAAAAAACAACCTTCACTTTCATTTTTCTGGGGCGAGGCCCTCAGCTGCTTTAAGCAACGTGCGGCCTAGCTAGGCCCAAAACACAGTGTGTGCAGTTGACGAGCCATGTTCCGATCCCCGTCCAAACAAACAAACAAACACGCCTTTATTGATGTCACTAGTGTTAAAAGAACATGGCCAGGCCAGTCTCAATGATATTTACATTGGAGTTTCATTATCAACAAATAAGGTACCATGCATGTAGACAAATATGGTGATATAGCAGGGTATTTATGATGAAGGAGAAGAAACTCGCTCTATCCTGGTGAAATGAGGACTACCCAATTACCATGTCTTGGAAACAAGTGACAATGCACTAACGGAGCCTCCTTTCATCCTCATGTGGGTGAGGTGATCCCATCCGTCCCTCTGCCACATTAGTCGACCGCCAACCTCCAATTCCTACCGCACCCACCATAGGACAAAATCGCAACACCACAGAACATGTCTAGATGGCTTTGCCGATCCTAGGACAACCTCGTTGTTCCCTTGCCTGACGGGTCTTTTTCAGGAGGTGTTCAGGAGTCTACCAGGCGAAGTACGAGCGTCGAATCGGCTTAACCAGCTTGCTGGGCGATCTTGCTCATTACTGTGTTCTTGTTGCGATCTCGGACGTGCTTGCTTTTGCTAATGCTTGACCCAATCCGACGCCAAAGCTTACTTGACTTTGTTTGGATGCGTATGTATTCATCTCAATTCACATGTGTTGAAGTGGATTGGGGTGTAATTAAACTAAGTTCCATTCCATTCCACTCCAAAACATGTGTATTGAAGTGAATACACATACATCCAAACAAGGCCTTAGGAAATAACCCAAAGTCAAAGTGACATATTGAGTGTTTTCTGTAATTTCCCGTTATAAATATAAATAAATATACACGATTGGCGGATGATTTTATCTCATACACTACACAACACCGCATCACCGTTAGACATTTGATGCTAAAAATTATATTTATCGATGGATGATCTGTCGCTAAAGATAACTCACTGACCATCTGTCATTATAGATATAGATATTTAACGTTGAACTGTCGGTCGCTAAAGCCATGTATACCATCAATTTGTCTGTCACTAAAGAAAATGAGCCCCACGTTGAGCTCACGTGCCCCACCTCTATCCAGCTCGCTCGCAAATTTTAACATGTTTTTGTTACATAATCTTTATATAAAAATTTTGCATAGTAACATGTTTTTGTTACATAATCTTTATATAAAAAACTCAAATGATTTTAACAAGGTGGCAGTATACATTGTTCACAAATGATACATCTCCCACACACTTCTATGTCAACATACGAAAGATTTGTCCAATCTTGAATAATGTATACTATCACTTTATCAGATAGAGAAATAACTAAAACAAAAATTATAGATCTCGATGAGTTCTACAACTTTGTTGTTGACGACCTTTTCATTTGAAATCATTGACTATTAAAAAAGTAAGTTGGAAGCTCTCATATTTTGAAATTCCAATTTTAAATTATGGGAACAAAGTTGATGGAGAAATGATCAAAATAAAAGTTGTAGATCTAGATGATTTATACAACTTCTCCCTCCCATATCTCTCCCCAAATTGCCGCGCCAAGCCACGCCGCCAACCCGCTGCCACCGAGTTCTTCCCTCCACCCACTACAAAGAGACTGGGCCTTCTAGGATAATTTTCATATGACAAAACACGTTTTAAGTCATAGAAACGATGCGTTATACAACTTTGCTTTTGATGACTTTTTCATTTAAAATAATTTAATATCCTAAAATTCAGTTTGAAGTTTTTATATTTTGAAATTCAAATTTTGAATTGTTAAAAAAAAACCGGATGGGCCTTACTGCCCCAAAATTTTGTTTGAATTTTTCATATTTTGAATTTTGAATTTCAAATTGTTCAAACTATGTTAGATGAAGAAATAACTAAAACCAAAGTTGTAAATCTAAATGAGGTGTGCAGCCCCTTTCTTGCTCAATTTTCACCTGATGGGCTCGATGGTTCGGGTACGGGTGACGTTGTCAAGATAATCCTCTATTGCATTACATTTCTGGGTCTTTTACTTGTATGTCATTAAAAAAGATGGTCTAATCGTCTATGTCCCTAAAAAGTTCGATCTATCGTCAGTGTCTAAGCTCGAAAAACTTTTCTCTCTCACGCCATTCTGTCTATTTGCAGCACTAACGGTGTGAAATATGGATGGCAAAGGACTTGAATGCCCCTGGAACTTTTGTTTCTCATGTGCCACTCCTTGCTGGGAGCCATCTGTGTGGTAAATTGTCTGAGCTTGAGCGGTGAACCTTTACAGTACCAGTACATGCATGCACAAATTGCAACGACTTTTAATCTGACACAACATTAGCGGATGGATACAAACAGAGATGCTGGCTACGGAGTAGTAGTAGTACGTACTACACAAGCCTAAACTGTACGAAATGTTTAGAGATGTACAGTAGTTACCCGTAGCATTGTACAGAGAAACCAGAGACATTTGGTCGTGTACGTCAGCAAGCAATGCCAATCAATCAAAGTCAAACACACAATTCGCAGTCGGAGTACAGTCTAAGGCATGGTGGCGCGCTCTGACTTAGCGGAACAAATCATCGACTACTAGTGCAAAATAGCTACGGCTTGCTCTTGTCGATCACCCGCCGGACGACGGAGTTCAGCGATCTGCTCTGCAAGCTGCATCGCCTCCGCCGGCGCCGCTCCGTGCTACATGGCACGTTCCGCACAGATGAAACGCCAGTCTCAGCTAACGAACGAACGAGCGGCCGGCCAGCGCGGGCCCACTGTTGGCGTGACAGGAAGGATAGGTGAATACTTACGTCTACGCTGGTTTGGAGCAGCGAGCCGAGGACGTGGTAGGCATTGCAGTCCATCACCAACTCTCGGAGCCGCTTGGCGGGTAGGCGCAAGAACGCTTCGAGCCCGCGCTGCAACGGAGGCACCGGAGACGGACTAGCGCGGGGGCGAAAGCACGCCTGTACCACGAAGTGCCCGTATGTGTCCGTGGACCACGCCACGAGATCGTCCACGATGAGCGCCCTGA